AGAGTGTTTGCCTTCGTGTACTCTGAGGCTTGAAAGTCAAGCAAAGGGGCACGAGGGTGGACGTCACATCTATTCAGATTTCTGTAGCTTGAATTTTCTTCCTGTCTTCCAGGGTATTAGCTATTCTAACCAATTTTGTGCCGTCCGCAAATTCGATTAGCATTCCCTACACCCCCTGGTCCTCTAGATGTTGTACTGAAATGGGTCATCATTCCTCTACTGACTCTGCTGGGTAGAGCATATGAGAATTACAGTCTGGCATCTGGAGGGTTAGATACGCCTAGCCCTGCTCCAAGGACATCTTCACAAACCACCCCTTGTTTTTCATGTCAGAATTGCTTTCGGTGAACCTGATTTTCACAGGTACAAACAAACTGCTGGAGAGCTCAATGGTTTAGGTGTTTGGCTGGGAGTTCAATTCTCCCCTGGGTCTCCTTGACAAGGGCTGGACTCAATGATCCCTTTGACCTCTGCAGTTCTAAGATGATGATGATATTCTTACTCTTTATAAAAGACAGTGTTCCTGTAAATGTAAAGCTATGTTTGTCCTAGCATATGTTACCTCACATTCTTGCATGTCTGTATAGCTTGCTTTCCAATAGGGTACTTGAAGATAAATTTGGGCTTAATTTGCAAGACTGATTGCTGAGGAATATATCTGCAAGAGAACCCTACTTTTGGAGGAAAACATGCTAGTAGGAAAACCACAATCTCCTGTTTCGACTTTAGCAGTATTTCCATCACCCATGCCTCCTTCTGTGCAGCCAAAACCTATTCCACATACAGTGGGGTCTCTACTTAAGAACGTCCCTATTTAAGAACAATCCAACTTAAGAACAGCTCCGTTTGCTAAATTTTGCTTCTACTTAAGAACAGAAATCCAAGATAAGAACAGGAAAAAAAACTTTCCTGCTCTTTTTTTAACCTTAGGTCATCTTAGGTTAAAAAAAATTCTCCCCCTAGTGGTAGAGTACGTATTAACCAGCATTGCATTAGTTCCTATGGGAATTAATGCTTCAATGTACGAACGCACCTCTACATAACAAAAAAACAGCCAGAATGGATTAATTGGTTTTCAGTCCATTGCTTCAAAATTAGCTT